ATCCTTTTATGTAGCCTAACAAAATTTAAGCGGGTATAATTTTCGCAGTTTTGTCTATATATTTTTATTTGTTTGATGGTCAAAAAATGTCATTTTTACCATAAAAAACACCAACTTGTTTTAATAAAAACATTTTAAAACATTTGCGCCCTTTTTAGGAGGTTACACTCTTCTTTAATTTTGTGGGACTACATAAGTGGTTTGGTTCGGTGTAGTTTTATTAGCAATTTATCCTGTAGTTTTTGATTAAACAAAGCCAAAATTGATCGTTTTTGGGGTAAATTTTTGGGCCCGAACTTTGCAAAAGAAATTGCATCATATAATTTTGTTAAAATTTTAAGCAAGGTTGATTTTCTTGTTTTTTGTCTAAAATCAACTCAATTTGAGAAAAACGCGTTTTGAATTTCAAGTTTTATTCATTTTGCCCGGATTATTTACATCAGCACTGCATTAATCAACTTTTCATTTACTGTAATATTAACTGTAATTTAAAATTCGGAGGATAATCAACAAACCGCCACGTCTACAAGCCGTCATATCTTGAAGCCGAAATTGCATCAGAATAACGTAAATTACATCAGAGTTACATAACAATTGCATAATAACAATGACAATCTGATGTTTTGTTGTTATGTTGCAGAACAATATTAGATTTTGGCTTGTTGAAATGGTAATCCAATTTTCGATTTGTTGGCCATTCGGTTTGTTGGTCTACAACCAAAAATTCGACTCTTAACCGCTCTGTTTGGTTTCAGTTTAAAAGGAGAAGAAAATCCCTTAACTCGTACATATCTCACCCCTTATCCTCGCCCGACTCAGTTGTCATCTGATCACACCTGAAGATGGAGAGGAGCAACTCGACTTCTATGGACTTCATTCTCGGCTGGAACCGAGAACGACGAAACTCATCCCATGTAACAGGTAAACAGTCATCATTCAATTGTTCATCACAGACTTAGCATTTTGGGCAGCTAATAAACCCCCCCCCCCTCTCCTAAATAAAACACTTCACAACACTCTTCAACTTCCAGAAGAAACTAAAAACTGACTTTTACATTCCCCGGGTCGAGATCCCGCTCAAAAACCGCTCAAGATTTGAGCGGTTTGAGCGGTTTTCCAGCAAGATTTGAGCGGTTTGGGCGGTTTTTTTGGAAAAACCGCTCAAACCGCTCAAATCTTGCTTAAAAAAACCGCTCAAAAACCGCTCATTTCTTGCGGTGATTTTTGAACGGTTTTTCAAGCAAGAATTGAGCGGTTTTTGAGCGGTCTTCCCGGGTTGAGGTCCCAGATTCCCCCCATCCTCCCCCCCCCCCGCCAATGTACTCCCCCCCCCCCCCAACGTACCCCCTCAACGTATCCAACATCCAACAAACCCCCCCACCAACTTACCCCCCCCCCCCCCCCCCCAACGTACCCCCCCTCAACGTACCCCCCCCCCCCCTCAACGTACATCTCTAACTCAAGTATGGGACATCAACTCTAGTAAGAGGTGAGGGGGGACATCAACTCTAGTAAGAGGTGGGGGGGGGGGGTGGGTTGGTGTGCGATCTTATTATCGATTATTTTTGTTATTTTGTAGAAACTGACAATAAAAATCCTGACAGTATATTTGTTGTGTATGTCTAAAACATTGAACATATTCAGTAGAACAAATACAGCGAATATTAAGCTTCCAGCAAGTCAGCATAGACTAACGGATAACGTGTCTGACTTCGAATCAGAAGATTGCGGGTTCGAATCCCTCCGTGGTCGACTTTTTATTATTAAATCTTGCGCGGTTTTTGAGCGGTTTTTTAGATAAACCGCTCAAAACCGTTCAAATCTTGCGCGGTTTTTGAGCGGGTTTTTTTAGATAAACCGTTCAAAAACCGCTCAAACCGCTCATTTTGAAGCAAGATTTTGAGCGTAATTGTCTAAAAAAACCGCTCAAACCGCTCAAATCTTGCTTCAAATTAGGTTAAAAATCTCAACTCGGGTCACAAAAACCTCTAAACTCGACATCGATTTTGAGTCTTTTCAGATGCTAAGGTGCTAAAACTATTATTATTATTATTAATATTTATTATGCTACTGCTAGCTATGGCTAAGATCACTGTCTCTCAGTCGAACGGTCGGTTTTTTGACAATGATACGAGCTCGTTGCTTCAAGTGAGGAAACATTTCCCAGCCCATAGGAGTAGAAAAAAAGCATTCAGGTTTAAATCAGGGACTACACCGAAGATCTGTATTTTGGTCTGTTCGTTTGGACCCAAGATAGCTCAAAATATTATAAAAATGCTAATGAAAACCTTAATCAATTCAATGGTGCTAAAAAGCTGACTATGCTGTGCATGTGTTATAGGAAATAAGAAGATTTTGTTATCAACTTAAATTCAATCGATAATGTTATGTCTGATTCGAATCTGACCTCGAAATCATGAGAGCGACAGAGACTCATAAACAACTATTGAATATGGTGTTATGTTTAATAGGTACTTAATTTAGATCAGACATCTATATGATTACGTTTACATAAGGTTACTTAAGTAGGTATGGTTAAAGGTTAGAACTATAAACAATCTATGTAACGTGTTTTAGTTATACTGAGTTCTAATGGATATGCAGTATATCCGTACGGATAACATTGCCCCTTCCCTTCTTTTTTTCTATATGATCCTTCCCTTCTTTTTTTCTATATGATGAGCACATCATATGTTCTCCTGTATTTTATCCTCATCCTCGCTCGGTAGAGGTGAAGTCTGGGGGGGGCGTTCGTTGCAGATGAGGTTTGTGGTGTTTATTGGGTTATCGGTTCGCTGCTTTTCGCCGCCTTTGTGTGTTTTATGGGGCATTTAGGGCGATCTTGTCTCTCGCATTCTCTTTGAAATGTCATAGGGTTTTTCGTTGGCGAGATGGATTTGAGGATCTTCATTGCGTCATTAAAACTTTCAATGAGCGATTTGTCTGGTGAGTAGGAGGTACCAGTTGGTCTATCAATCACGTAACGTGAACTAATTGCTCTTTGATAAGGGCGTTGTGGTGAACCGGATTGTGTTGATGTAGTTATCGCCGTAACCAATTTATCACTCTGGTTATCCTGTGGTGAAATTGAGTGTGTGGTCGTTTTTATCGGTGTACACAGTGTATCTTCTGGATCGGCTGTGTCGCGTATGGAAGTGAGATGGCCACCTGTCCCGTCATTGGTCTCCTCAACCCTTAACTGTTCTGGCGTTTCGTCAGTTGTGTTGATTTCGATGCATTCGATATCTGTCGACGATTCGTGAGTCGTGCCTGCTGCCTGAACGATTGGGTCGGCATTTTGATTTTGCGGGTGTTGCATCGTTATGTGACAAACCTCGTTGTCCGCAGTGATATCATTGGCAATCGTGTTTATTGGAATTGCATTTCCAAATTTATTCGCAAGCGCGCTTGTTTTGGTCCTCGTGGATCTACGGCTTGGTAGGTTTTCCTGTGGCGGCGTGTTTTTCCTGTCAATCTTTTCGGCTGGGGGCATGTGTGGCAATTGTGTCATATCCTGGTTGATAGAATCGTCCGATGATATCGAGATCGACGTGTCACATTCAAATTCAATGTGTGTGTTATCTCTGCGTATTTTCTCTGGGCTGTCCTTTCCTTTTCGACTTGGAGACTTGAGGCTTTTAGTAGCCGTTGGTGGGTTTCTCGGAGGTTGTCTTTTCGACGTTCTCGGTGTCGCCTTATGGATAATATGTTGTCCTAGCGCCTTTCGGTTCATCGTTTGCCGGATGAGTTCCTCAATGTTTTTAGGTGGCTTTCGTTTGGGGCTTGCAGATGTCGATGATTTTTCCGCCGTGTTCTGTTGTTCCTTGGATGTCTGTTTTTTGGATTTTTGAGCCAGTTGGTTTTGTTTGTTGAACTCCTGCGGCTGAAATACGGGGTTTAGCTCTTGGTAAA